TGGTGTGGTGTGTAATGTTGTGGTCGTGTGTGTGGTCGTGTGTGTGCTGTGTTGTGTGATGTGTGATGGTGTAGTGTGTTACATTGTGTGTGCTGTGTGTGCTGGTGTGTGTGTGCGCTGCGGCGCGCGTGTGTTACGTGTGCCGTGCGTGTGCGCGGCGCGTGCTGTATGTGGTGGCGTATACATATAGACTTTAATTAATAACTATCACCGGCCATCCACCGGAGGGTTGGTGACCACCGTAATGTTGTTCATTGATGGCTGCGAACGCGTGCGTGCGTGCGGGCGTGCGTGCATGTGTGCGTGCGTGCGTGCGTGCGTGCTGGCGAGCGTGCGGGTGTGTGATATAAACAGAAGCGACTACACAGATACGTAGAATAGTTTTATTAGTTTACAGCCTTCATATGTATTCAGTGCGTCAGATAGGCATTCGTCTGTTTATTTATAATAATATATGCTAGTATAGGGCCTACCTATATAACTATATCACACGCTAGACATTTTCACTGCTTTACCGCATACATAGTGATGAATACCGTATAAATCATATTCGCATGTTTCCACAATATTTGTTATTGTAAACCTCTTATCTATTATAGCAGCAATACTCTCAGATTCTAACGTGCATACCTAATCCTGCACGTTATAAATGTGGATCACTCTACTTACATGTATATGCAAATAAATCACGCCATGTTGGCCGGCATAGTTAACACAAGCAGCGCCGCTATAAGAAAACTGAAATCTGCTCAGATCTCGACAAAGATATACGTATGACTAAAAATGTACAAGACGTAACAACTCTTGTTCATTTTTTATATAATACGATGAACAACATATAGCAGATTGAGGATACTCAGCATTGTCCATAAGTATTCGATAGTACAGCATGCTAATTATTAATTATCAATATTTAACGATGAATTATAATTAACAAACGATTATTGGCTAATATAGTTACCCAATAATTTCGGCACTGGGCTTAAAAAAATAAGGCTAACATATTATGTATAAATACACGTAAGCAAATTGCATACGCTGAAAGCCATCAGTTGGCTGTTTTGCTGCAGAAACAGTTTTTCTCTTGCCTTCGCCGTAGTCTGTCTCTGCCAAACAGGAGCAGATTTGCCACACACGAGATTGGGAAGAGGCAACCGAGCACGACTGCGATCAGGAAGCAGACACTGCTTGTTTCCCTGCCTGAAATTGAACACCAGAATATTGCATATTATATTATATATATAGTTATATATATATACATGTTTTTGGTTCAGTTATGAAGACACACACACACACACACACACACCACACACACACACACACCACACACACACACCACACACACACAACACACCACACAGCACACACACACACGACACAAGAGGAAAGACTAGATCGAGAGCAGAGAGCAGGAGACAGAGAGATGGAGAGAGAGAGATGAGAGATGACGAGAGAGGGAGATGAGACGAGGAGAGAGACGGGAGCGGGAGGAGAGAGAGAGAGAGAGAGGCGAGAGAGAGAGAGAAGAGAGAGAGAGAAGAGAGAGAGAAAGGAGAGACGCGTGAGGAAGGAGAAGAGAGAGAAGAGAGAGAGAGAGAGAGAGAGAGAGAGAGAGAGAGAGAGAGAGAGAGAGCGAGAGATGAGTAGAAATATTGCTTTCGCTTTCCGTAAATATTTCACCATGCCGGATTCCTACAATAGATCCCGCACAGTTGGTACCCTTTAGTCAGTAAGGGGATTATTTATTTTTGATAAAAGCGCGGAAGTAAGAAGAATCGGAACTGCGTTAATAACTAATAGTTAAAATAATAACTAATAATAAACTAACTAATAACTAATAACTAACTAACAACGCCGTGCTTACTTTCAGGAGGGGTTGTCTCGTCGACACGTCTTAGGCGTTGAAGCTTACTATCGTAAACGGTGAAGCCACTGGAGATTGTATACTCATCAGAGACATTATCGTTGTTTTGCTTTACAGATCGCTTTTTTCTCCCATAGCTCTGCTCGCCGTCACAAGACGCCTATAGTGTAAATGTAGGATAGTGAAGAGCGATGCAAAAACAGCATGTATATATTCATATATGCATAGGCATCGTAGGGAGCGAATTTGATGAGGTAATGTTTGACAAACCATTCTAAGTATATTTAGCCGCTGGCCGATGTTAAATGTGGCACCAAAAAGATAATGTATATATTCATATATATATATATATATACATAGACATCGTAGGGAGCGAATTTGATGATGTAATGTTTGACAAACCATTCTAAGTATATTTAGCCGCTGACCGATGTTAAATGTGGCACCAAAAAGATCTCACGGGCGCTTTTAATAGCATTATTATTTAACAAGAGCGTTATCACCGTCGCAAGTCTGGAACCAAGATATACAAACTTATATTTTGTATATATATATATATATATACATAGTATATAGTATATTTACTATGTATATGGATATACGTATGCATATCAGTCTTGAAAATATGTCTGAAACCACGGCCAGTTCTGATTTCGCAAAAGCTTATTTCTTTAACATAACCTATAGTGAAAGCCATAAAAATTTGTCCCGTTCAAATGTTACCAGTCCCTTATTTGGTGACAGGCTGCAATTACCAACACGGCGTATATATGTATATATAATATCGCATTAATATCAGGAAATCAAACACATTTTATTTTATTCACGTCTTATATGCCCAAATAAGCTTATGATATTGAAGAAAACTGAACAATGTTGCACACATAAAGGACAAAACAGGAAATGTTGTATCGATGCATGCACCATGGAAAATAAATGTCTCATATAGAGATATTACTCGCTTAATTAACCTAATCACTGCTATTTTATATACATACCGGTTCACACTGTCCAGCGCACAGCTTCACGTCGCACTGAAACAGCAACGCGTTGCTGCCCGGGAACTTGAATGCATGGAACGGAGCAGAGATGTAGATGTGGTCGCCATTCCTGCTGAAGCTGGCATCTAGCTGAGGGATCGGAAATAGATCCGGCTCTGTCGGGCACCTATTCACACACACGCGCGCAGGCGCGCATACACAGTTGTATAAGGATGAGTTTGTCTCTAATGACCTCTGAGTCTCTAATGTGACGATGATGTGTGAAAAAAGGGGCCACAAAGCGATTACTGGCTGCTGAGTGATGTTACAGTAATATTATAATTACTTCTGAACGCGTTGTACGGTTGGTGTGTTATAAGCACGATGTCAGGATGGTTTGCTGATGATATTCTATTGCTATGTGGAATTACTATATGGCATATGCGCCGTGCAGGTATATCAATGATTATAGAGACAATGGCAGTTATGGTAAACCCTCACCCGTTGTCATCTAATAGGCGGTATCTCGCTCCATCTACACCCACTGCAAGGCAATTCCTCACGATTCCTCCATATTTCACTGAAAAAGTGATAACCAATAATCAAACCATAATGTTATACTCTTATTGCACTCCGGCGAATTCTTACAAATTAGAGATCTTTCTATTTAAATCGTCAGCACTATGTCGTGCTAGTAAGTTCAAACATAAATTTTGTTGCTAGTTCTCGGCATTATTTCTTTCCAGCCGCACTCACAATCGGCTTTCATTAAATGCACAATCGGCTTTCCATGCATTCATAACTAGAGCACTCGGAGAGCACAGACCCGCCAATGCAGCTGAATTCTCTCAATGTGGAATTTTTTATTAATTAATTAATTAATTAAGTGGAAAAATTAATTAATTAATTAATTAAATAAATAATTAATTGGATCCGGATTAGTGCGAACGTGCAGGTGGGGGAGGACTGTGGTTGTCCCTTAGCCTGTGTTTGCGTGTTTGTAAGTCTACAGCCAGCGCACCTAGCGGAAGTGAACTGAAACGTGCATGTTCACAAACAAACCAACCAACACTCAAACATTCGCCGGTAAAAACATAACCTCCGCCACGCCCCTTGGCGGAGGTAATGATTGTGGTATAACGCACGTAAACGGACTACACCGGTAGAGCTAAACGCACGTAGACTTCCTGTTATGTTTATCTCGAAGTAATGGTAATGATTTGAGAGAATGTGTAAAGCCGTTTAGTCTCACAACCGCTTCAGGCTATATGCTGCGCAATGCATTGCCGTATGTATATGCAATCCCAACCCAGTCGATAACTCGATGAATATGACTTTGTTAAAGATCTATTTTTCCTTCGACTTATGCCAGCTTCAAGGAACCTGAATTTCAATGTTGGCCAACCTCCATTGTCAATGTCGACGTCAAGTCGGTACTTCTCTCCAAGGATTAGACTCTGCGTTGTCATTCCTGCCTTGAAGTCGTAGATCGTGAGAATAATTTCGGCACTGTCACCCGTGCCATTCAGTCGCGTAGCGCCCACTGCGCTACCTCTGAAACATTATGAAGCTATGTCAAAGAGAGAGAGGGGCAAGGAGAGATAGAGAGAGAGATAGAGAGGGAGAGAGAGAGAGAGAGAGAGAGAGCGAGAGAAAAAGAGAGCGAGAATGAGAGAGAAAGAGAGCGAGATGAGAGAGAAAGAAGCGAGAATGAGAGAGAAAGAGAGCGAGAATGAGAGAAAAAGAAAGCGAGAATGAGAGAGAAAGAGAGAGAGAATGAGAGAGAAAGAGAGAGGAATGAGAGAGAAAGGCGAGAGATAACAAGCGCAAACGTAAGAAGCGTTAAAGTAAAACAGTGTTAGATCGAGGAGAGAGAGAGAGAGAGAGAGAGAGAGAGAGATGGGAGAAAAGAGAGAGAGAGAGAGCAGAGAGCAGAGAGAGAAGAGAGAGAGGAGAGAGAGAGAGAGAGAGAGAGAGAGAGAAAGAGAGAGAGAGAGAAAGAGATAAAGAGCGAGAGAGAGAGATAGAGAGAGCAGAGAGGGGGCGAGAAAGACAATGGCAGGAGAGCGAGAGGGAAGGATAGAGAGGGAGGCGAGTTCACAAACTAGATACTGTTAGTGCGGATATGCCTATCATTATCATATATATCAGACAGCTCTCGACGCGATGCAAGTCGACGTTTTCTGACGGGACCATGCATTGATACATATTACAAGGTGAGATTTTTATTTTGTCAACTGTAGTTACCCTATATTTACTGAAGAACTAGTGACTGTCTTCTCCTCGGTGTCAAATGAGCATTGTACCATGTAGGCAACGTCCGAGTCCGTTACCAGCTTTCCCGTTCTGGCTATCACAATCACGTTGAAATAGGAATTCCCATCCTATATAGGCACGAAGACAATATCGTCAATAATTAACTTTCTTAAAGGGCGCTATATATGAGGGTAAATTATAGTCACGAGCTCGTGTCGCACTTTTTGCTGAAAATATTATTGATTAAATAGACCTATCCCCGCGTTACGACCACCTATAAGGCTCGAGAAATTCGCGCATGCGGAATTTGAAGTGTTTGCTTTGAAATTCATGAAACGGCCGGTAAATTCGCCTTTAAATCAATGAAAAGGTTTTCAACAGAATAATTGCGGTACAAAAACCAAAAAAATCAACAACTTTTTTTTATGGATGTCACACACCGTGTCCTGTATTTCATGTTTGACACTCAACATCGTTCTCGGTGAATGAAACTGGGTCTTCTGTGCATTTACTTTCATCTCATTATCATATTCCATCATTATCCATTATTATTAGGTCTATCACATATCTATCTGCCTGTGTTTAAAAATGTTGATTTTCATAAATAAGTGTTTTCGTGTTATTTAGTTTGGCTAAAAACAATATATAGAACTGTAAATGTATTAGAATTCACTACGAAGCGGAAATGCTCGGGGCGGAATTTTATGTAACGGAATTTTGTGTTTTGGCAGAAACGTTACAAGGACGCATTTTTATTGCTACCACATTGGAGGGAGAGTTACTGCATTTATGATACATAAATCATTTATTGTGACGTGCCATAAGTTTATATCACCTTCCCCATAACTCACACGAATGTTAATGAACGTGAAGCGTATCCATAGGCGTATCACTGACTCACTAAAATAGGTGGAGAATAAATGGTAAATACTTAAACACCCTGAAGCAGCGAAGCACAAACCCAACGGCGAACATGATTATACCTGTTCCGTTCCGCATTTCGTGAACGGGATGAACAACGAGGCTTCATTCTCGCCAGACGGGACCATGGAACATTCCGGGGTGTCGTACGCACTCTTCGCGTACACGCGACCGATATTGTGTGTCTCTGTGTTCACGTGCACCGTCAAGCCATCGGGCCGATCACAACTCACATGCGCTGAAACGTCAACACAATGTATCACACAAAGCATCGTCTGCGATTCTATTTTGGCTGCCAATTTGCGCCATTCGAATTCACTTACCAACTGCACGAACTTCCAACTGCACAGCTACCGAATTAGAGTAATGTTAAACGTGCAAACAGCTGTTTTATAACAATAAATATATTTCAGTTATTCCTGAATAAAACCGCGCAGCCATGATCCTTCTTACGAAATCGAGCAATCGATACACCCTATGTGGATGCAAATAGCAGTACAGCCAACAACGGTGTCACCGGAATCAGCAGCTAGTGACACCACAACAAACACCGATGTCTCAGCCTCGCCATTCTGATGTCAACACAACCAACATACAGGTGTGAACTAGCATACTAGTGTAAATTGCACATTATTGTCTCACCGCTGGCAATGCCTGTGAGTCATGGCTGCTAGCGGTGGTACCACGCTATAAGGCTGGCAGGAACCCTGAGTCTGCATTAGGGCTTCTCCCAGCCCAGTATCATGGCTTCCCCCAGCCTAGCACAATGGTTACCCCGGCCTATCACCATGGTTACCCCGGCCTAGTACCATGGTTACCCCGGCCTATCACCATGGTTACTCCTGCCTATCACCATGGTTACCCCGGCTTATCACCAGGGTTACCCCGGATATCATCATGGTTACTCCAATCCTAGTACACCATGGTTACCACGGCCCATCATCATGGTTACCCCCAGCCTAGACCCATGGTTACCCCGGCCTATCACCATGGTAACCCCGGCCTAGTACCATGGCTTCTTCGGTCCGGCTCAGGATTACGGCTTCCGGCATCGTCACTGCACTAGTGAAATATATCGCATAATTACCTGTCGGCTTGAGGGAGCCTTGTCCAGCTGCAAGTGGAATCAGCGCTACCTATCGACGAACAAAAATTGGCATTGCTCCATCTGTGTGGCATTTCCTGACCATCTCGTAGTTCAGATTTCTTATTACTCGTTTGCATCACACAACAGAGATAGATTATAAATGTTGTACAACTCTTTAGCATATTAAATAATATATTGTAGTAGTATGTACATCTAAAGTAATGTGCTGATATATCGTCTTCAACATGGGATGTATGCTGACTGCTTAATTCGCAGCTGTCATTGTCAAACAGAAAGCAGGTGTCGCTGAAGCTAGTGACAGTATTGTGTCAGGGCCCGCATTTATCAGAAAAACCTCGCGCATCGATCAGGAAGATAGCTATTACCTCTAGAAGCTATACATATATACATATAGAATGTGCAGGGGTACTACACCACCGAGGTTTAACCTAGTAGTCCTTTGGACTCATCTGCGACCACTATTTAGACTATGTGGATGAGATTCAAATATGTCACTTAGTGGCGGAAGAGGTGTCCTTAGAGCAATAAACTGCTCGCTAAATAGATCAGCCGCGGTGTCTAAGATTAAGATTAAGATTAAATTAAATTAAAAGCGTTAAAGATTAAGATTAAGATTAAAAGGGGTTAAAGATGTTTGTGTGTGTGTGTGTGTGTGTGTGTGTGTGTGTGTGCGTGCGTGCGTGCGTGCGTGTGTGTTGTGTGTGTGTGTGTGTGTGTGTGTGTGTGTGTGTGTGTGTGTGTGTGTGTGTGTGTG